CCGGGTTCCGGCTTCTGGCAGTGGCCACAGCTATGCTCCAGGCACCGTCCCTGCTTCCTGTGCTGCTCCTGCTGGCCAAGCCTGCTCCTGCCCTTGCCTGGTCACCGCCCCTGTGGTACCAGTTGAGGCTGGACTTACATCCCTGGGCGTGCGAGCCCAGCAGCCCGGAGGCCTGTGGGGGCATCCTGGGCTGTACCGGCTACTGGACAGGCCTGGGAGGGAGCCGCGTGTACCCCGTGGCTGGCGTCATGGCCACCACCACCATGATGCTAGTGATGGGTCGTCCGATGCTGCAGCGGTGGCGTGCACAGGTGACCTCGGGGGAGCACGACGCCTGTCCTCAGTACCTGTCTCCACGCGTGTCCCTTGGCCCGGAGCCTCCGCCCAGCCCTGCCCGCAGCCTGGCTGGCTCTGTGGGCCCCTCCGGACCTCTGCCTCCCCCGCACCTTATTGTCCCTGCACCCGGCCGCAGGTCTCCATGACGACAAGCCATCCATTCCCCGCCAGTCCCCCTCCGGCACCCCTTTTAGCGCCCCGCTCCTCATCCAGGCCCGGGCCGAGACTGTTCTCACCCAGGGCAAACCCTCAGGCTCGTCTCCGAAGCCCCCTTCCCAGCCCTCCGGCGCTGCCCTGTGTGCCTGCACCTTCTCCTAGCTGTCGCCAGCCCTGCCGCCCCTCGGCTCACTCCCGTCTCTGTCCTGCTCTCAGAGCCTGCACCCGGCCCCCAGCCTCCATGGACCCGGGAAACGGCGGGTTCCAGTCTCAGACCGCATCGTGCTCCTCAGGGTCCTTCACATGCTGGATGCCCTCCTGCTCCACATAGAGGCCCACCTGCAGCGCCTCGCCACCCAGCAGTGCAAATAAAGGAGACCCCCACCCGTCCAGGTGGCCCGACACGCGTGTCTCTGTCTGGTGGCCAGGCGCAGGGAGGGGGTGGCCTCACACCCTATTCTTTCCTGCCCTGTCGGGGCCCTGCGGCCCTTTCCACGCTTGGAGCTAGTGGGCCCATTGA